TTTAGGATTGCGGGTAAGGTATCAATGACTGTAGCAGCAATGACAGGCTATGCATCAGAATAGGATTAACGGAAAGCAGTAACATGCTACACTACTCTAATGCAAGCAGTATAGAATAGAATAGGCGATATCTGGTGATCAAAGGGGGGGGCTTGCCTGGTTGCTCTGGCAAGAGAGAGGGTCGTCAACTCCGTAGTCGAACTGGTCAGCAGCAGCGTCGGTCTCGTAGTCTACCGGAGAGAAGAGGGGGAAGAAATAATGAATACAGAGCAAACAAAGCACCACAAAATATATCAAGGCAATACGCGGTGTTCGGTGTGCCCTAACGCGGTAGTAGGTGATACCGATGAAGGGGGGAAAACCCCCGGGAAAGTATTCCCGGTGTTTCGTGTTTTCGGGCAGAGGAGCCGGAGGGGGAAAGTTGCGGGTTCGATAGGTTAGGGGTGTGTGGCGGACGAACGGACCGCGTATCCGGATTCGTCTCGTCGTTCTGAGTAACTTTCATGTTGAAATTATTTTAATCCGAGTTACGGATTAAAAGATATGATTTTCTAAAGATTTTATTAATTTCTGGAATTTAATTAATTATTTAATTAATTTGAAAAATGGATTTATGACATCAGCATGATGTCATGCTGACGTCAGGAGTCAACAGAGTTGACTTGGTCAACCTGACATGTGGGTCCAGTGGGACCCACATGTCATTCTCTGTTTAGGTTAATTACAGTTTAGTTAATTTAATTACTATCTAATTAACCTAACTAGTTAATTAAATTAATTAAACCGGATTAATTAACTTAATTAATTCATTAGATAATTAATTAATTAATTATTAATTTTATTAAATCATTTTTTTTATTTATTATTTTTATATTTAATTCCTTTTTTTTATAAAACGTTATGGGCATGGGGCCCATCTGTCATAGGCCCCAGGGGCCTATCGGGTTCGGGCGTGGTTGCTGGGGCGGAGCCCCGTGAGTGGGCGGGCGGTTACGGGCGTGTGGGTACGGGGCGCACCCAAGGCGCCCACCACGCGAGGGGAGGCGAGGCCGGCCAGGGCTATGCCCGGCGGCGGCGAGGCCACGGCGACCAGCGCGGACGCGGGCCGGCGCCGGAGGCGGCGGGACAGAGGCGGGCGTGCGGACATGGCCGCGGCCGCAGGCAACGGCGGGCGTCGCCAGGGCGTGCGACG